AAAAAACTTCAACCAACTTCAGACTGCTGCCATTTTTAAGTCACTCGTTCGACAGCTGTTAAAATTATTCCAGTGAAAGGTCATTATATTCTATACAAGCGTACAAAAGCATTTTGTCGATAATTTTCCAGGAAAAAAGTTTTTCGTGGCGGAATTCAAGCGTGATAGTGTGATTTCTTTATATTTGCCGGGAAAACCACAAGTGGCTATCGTTAGAGCACTCCAGCATTTAAATGTGAATAGATCTTTTGTTTCTTGTACCCTCGCTCGTTGCCGTGATATTGGTAGCGTAGCTCTTCGACGTCAAGGAAGTGGGCTTAAGAAAAACAGCAACATCAGCAGAAATGGTTCAAAAAGTAAAGAAGCGACTTGATCGAAACCCACGCCGCTGTGGTCGAAAAACGGCTCGTGAGCTGAACATATCGCAATATTCCATTCGGCAAATATTGAAAAATGAGCTCGGGGTAAAGCCATTGAAATTCCAAAAAGTGCAAGAACTTACACTGCAACGGAAATAAAATAGACTCAAAAGAGCTAAAGAGTTGCTTCGCTTGACCGAAAGTGGCGAACTGCCGAATTTGGTTTTCTCCGATGAGAAAACATTCGTTGTCCAGCTGTTTGTAAACAAACAAAATGATCGTATTTACTTGCAAAAGAGGTCAGCACCTTTGGTTAGCGGTTGGCCACCAGAACTTAAGCGTCGGCCATGGTGATGGTGTGGACCGCCATAACAGCCGATGGTCGCTTTCCGCTCGTATTAATCGACCGTGGCATCAGAATAAATGCCAAATATTATCGTGAAAATATTTTGGAGGGTGTATTACAGCCTTGGGCACGCAAACATTTTGGCCGCTGAACTTGGACATTTCAACAGGATTCAGCACCATCGCACTCAGCACGCGCCAACCAAGATTGGTTACAAGATGAGGTTTCTCGCTTCATTTCCAGCGCACAATGGCCACAATGGCTATTGTCGTGTCTGGAGTATTTTGAAAAGTATGGTTGGCATTAAGAAATACCAAAGTGTCGATCACCTCAAGCAAGCGCTTCGCCGGGAATGGGCGTAGAGCAATATTCGGCAGCGTGTGACTATTTCATTAACCGTTTCAAGGCCATAATTGGTGTCAAAGGTGACCAATGCGAATAAATCTAAACTTATTCTAAAATTTGATCGGAAATAGCATCAACTTTTTTTGCTTTCATTCAATAAAATAAAAAAAAATAAAAGTTATGGCGTTTGAATTTTTTGTAGTTTTTTATCTCACCTTTTCCACAATACAGGGTGGGATAAAAAAACTGAAACAAAGTTAAACGCAATGATTTTTAGATTTTTTTTTAAATTTTATTGAATGAAAGCAAACAATTTCGGAAATAGCATCAAATTTTAGAATAAGTTTAGATTTGTTCGAATTGGTCACCTTTAGCACCACTATTTTGTTCTATTCTTACTTCGTGTATTTGGTAGTCTTTGGTAAGGAAATTGTACATTCTTATTGAAATTTTCAATTTTCTCCAATAAAATCGGGAAAATTGAGAGCTTAGAAAGCTTAAAAACAACCAAAGAATTTTTTTTCAGAATATTTTGAACATTTCATGTTGTAAAAAAATTCTACAATTTTGTAAAAAAAAACTCTCTGGTTTTGTAACTTTATATTTTCAATTTCCTGTCCAATTTACCTCGTTTTAATATTTTTTTTTTTAATATTAATATTTTTATATTTTATTAATTTATAATGGCACATTGTTTCAATATTTTTTCCTAGTTTGGTTAAAAAATTCTTCGAAATAAAGTTGCTGTATCATAAAATCATTTCCTAAGAAAAATAAACCAAAACTGAGAATTTATGATTATTCACACAAACCCCAACAATAGATGCATTTGTTTGTTTTCGGTTTCTGTATTTTTTTTTTCTTGGACCATTCAATACCGGTTGTTGTTGCGCTTTGGTATTATATCACAATTAAAGCTTCCGTTGTGAATTTTCGAATGGACAGCAAGAGTGATGGCCAAATATTCGTCTTAATTATAATCCATAAAATGGTGGTGGTGATTTCAGCGATCATAAATTAGACGGATGCAGATGGTATTTACGATGATTTCAGGTAAATAATATCAAATTCCACGTAAATCTCAATTTAATTTTATTAGCAATAGAGGAAATATTTCAAACATTCAATTTTATTATTGCTAGAAATAAACGAAATATTTCGAAATTCGAAAATACTTTTTAGCATCTTGATGAATAATAAAACTGGATATCTCTTCGATACACATATTGTGTCACCAAGAATGCAGCTAGGGGATAATGGGAACTTTTTTTTTTACCAAAAATCCCATTTCCAAATCCCAATATTTATATCAGAACTATGTCAGGTGCGAAAATGGATAACATCGACCCATTCCATTATGTACCTTCCACACGAAGGGTCAAAATTTTAAATATTTACAGGTCTGATATCTGAAATTTGGTACTAGGGTCGCTGTTCATGTATCGCCCTAAACGTATGGGGTGGGTTTTCTGAAATTTGTACTATAATTGTACGAAAAGTACCGAATGGTACTATATTTCGTATTATGTGAAGGGAAAAATATAAAATTCTGAAATTTGATATTTTTATTACTGGCCTGGAATCCTCAAATTTGAAATTGATGTCTCTTATGGCATCTGGGATTGAGCTATGGGAGTGGTTTTGAAAATGTCAACTATAATTGTACGAAAAGTACTGAATGGTACAATATTTGGTATTGGGTGAACATATAGTGCTTGAATTATTTAAATTGGTATTATTTTTACAATGTGGTAGTGGGTGAAGAGATAATGCTTGGAGTCTGAAATTTGATATTAGGATCGCTGTTCCCCCGAACATATGGAGGTGGTTTCTGAAATGTGTACAATAATTGTACGACAAGTATACCATTCAGTACTTGTCGTACAATTATTGTACACATATTTGGTATTGTGTGAAGGGAAAACTATAAAATTTGATTACTGAAGATATCTGTTTTTTGAGATTTGGCGGTGGTTTGGAAATGCGTCTTATATTTTTGTACGAAAAGGAGTAAATGGTACTAAATTTGGTATTGGGTGAAGGAAAAGGCCTGGAATCCTCAAATTTGAAATTGAGGCCACTTCTGGTATCTGGGATTGAGCTATGGAAGTGGTTTTAGAAATGTGAACTATAATTGTACGAAAAGTACTAAATAGTACGATATTTTATACAATTTGGTGAAATTTGGTATTAGAGTCGCTGTTTATGTGAGATAAAAAACTGCAACAAAGTCAAACGCCATAATTTTTAAACCTTTTTTAATTTTATCGAATGAAAGCCAAAAATGTCGGAAATAGCATCAAATTTTAGAATAAGTTTAAATTTGTTCGAATTGGTCACCTTTGGCACGAATCATGGCCTTCAAAAGGCCAATGAAACCGTCACACGAAGCCCGAATGTTGTTCTGTGGTATTTTGGTCCATTCCCAGCGAAGCGTTTGCTTGAGTTGATCGACACTTTGGTATTTTAAAGTGCCAACCTTGCTTTCCAAAATACTCCAGACACAATAGTCCAGCGGATTGTTATCCGGAGATTTTGGTGGCCATTGTGCGCTGAAAATGAAGCGAGGAACCTAATTTTGTAACCATTCTTAGGTGGCGCATGCTGAATGCAATGGTGCTGAGTCCTGTTGGAATGTCCAAGGTCTGCGACTGTGTGCAAGGTTTGCATGCCCAAAGCTTTAATACACCCTCCAGAATATTTTCGCGATAATATTCGGCATTTATTCTGATGCCACGGTCGATTAATACGAGCCGAGAGCAACCATCGGCTGTTATGGTTGCCCACACCATCACCATTGGCTGCGCTTGAGTTCTGCTGGCCAACCGAAGGTGCACAATTTCAGCTGACCTCTTTGGCAAGTAAACAGGAGCATTTTGTTTGTTTACAAACTGCTGGACAACGAAGGTTTTCTCATCGGAGAAAAGCTAATTCGGCAGTTCATCACTTTCGACCAAGCAAAGCAACTCTTTAGCTGTTTTCTGTCTATTTTCTTTTTGTTGCGGTTTAAGTGCAAGAACACTTTTTGGAATTTCAATGGCTTTACCCCGAGCTCAGTTTTTCAATATTTGCCGAATGGAATATTGCGGTATTTAGAGATTCCAATGGGTTCTACCTGATGGGTTCTACCATGTCCGTACGGCATGTGATGAAAATCTAAAATTTCGCACAGATTTGTCTTTTGTCTGCATTCTGGTCAAGTTCGAAGATGTCCATATAGGTCAAGTTTTCGTATATAAAGGTACCTCCTGATATTCGATATTTTGATGATTTTCGCCACACTATCTAACGAAATAGTTTAAAAATTTGTTAGTCAGAGTTTGGAATGGGTTCTACCTGATACAGCACAATATCGTCTATAAGTTTATTGATTTTTTAACTTGTTCATATTTCTATGTTCTGGAGCACTGTTATCCCAGTTGATACTGCATGGGCCAGTCAGTATATCTACCGCGAATGTTAGATCAGACTTACTAAATGATAGAAGGGAGCTTGTTCCTCTTCTTGAGATTACCGTCCAGATTGCCTTTAATGCTTCGATGAGGGATTTTGTGAAGTAGCAGACATAATAGCATATAGGTGGTTAAACAGTCTCACCAATCGGTAGATCAATCGAGTGGGAACCTCCTCCAGCCAATTCATCAGTCATCTCATTCTATGCTATTGCTATGTCTTGGAACCTAACATTTGGCCATTGGAGGAATATTTTGTTCCATGCATAATTGAACTATGCCAGTATCACAATAATCTTGGAGAAAAAATGGAAATATTTCCCATATTTACAACCGGTATCGGATCCAATGGAATAGAATATATTTTAAACTTCCATACTTGGATTAATAAAGTACTGATGCCCACATAGGCATAGAATAAGGTGCGCTTATTAAATCCATTTTGAATCATTTGATTAATGTGACATACTAAGTATATAAGTGTTCTTCCATACATACCTTCTTTACATTTCAAAGTGCTGTCAGTGACTTCGTGGAAATTTCTGAAAGAAAGAATAAATAAAAAAATTATTAGAAAAAATTACAAAAATGTTTAAAAATATTTACAAAAAATAATTTTCTTTGAATTTAAAATCCATACCATTCTCCATATTTTCTTTTGAATCCTCCAGCTATTTATAGCCTCAAAGGTAAATTAGGCAAAGCATTTTTTTCGTTTTGTCACAAATTTCGTGCTAAGCACTTAATTTAATTAAAAATTTCCGTTGAATATTTCAGCATTTCTTTTAACACAAAGGAGGAGCTTAGGCCGCATTTCAGAGTAAAACCTTAAAAAAAATTAAGGACAAGGTTGACACGACATGGCTTAAAGAGCGTTTGATGTTGTCTGAGTTATCTGTTGGCGTTTCAAATAAATCTCGGCACTCAATGTTTCTTTTTTTTAGGTGAAAGCAAGAAGAATAATTTACAAAGGAAATTTATGTTGCCATTAAAATAAATAAGAAACGCATTTCTTTTTGGAAAGTCTTTCGAGAAGGAAAATTGGCAAAGGTAATAATAATTTCATGGCAGACAAAAAAAAAAATTCCAAAAGTTAATAATCTCTTTCTGTTTTTCGCAAATAATTACTCTTTGGCAAGGTTTTATGGCCAATACAAGGATTTAAGTGGGCTGTCACCCAAAATGGAGTAATAATTCAAAAACGTTTATTTCCTAGGAAAATGGTGCCTAGAAAAATACCAGCAAAATTAAGTGTTTACCATCATTTTTTACGAAGCCGGCCATAATTTTAAACCCCAAGTTAAAAATCCATTTATAATATCCACTTAAAAGGGCTAAGTATTGCGCGGTAATGATGTTGGCTAAAAAATGACTTAATTAAAATTAATTAACACTTTGCCAAAGAGCGGCAGAAAAAACGAGAGAAAATTACCAACCAAAAAAAAAAAACACAAGTAAAAAAGCAATAAGTTCAGGCAAGGCCGATCTTTGAATACCCTCCACCATTTGCAAAGAATTTGGAAATTTTCAAAAAAAAAAAAAAAAATAACATAAATAAATAAATATATAAAAAAATAAATAATAATAAATAAATAAAATCCGTTAAAAATTCTGTTAAAATCTTAAAAATACGGAATGTAGCCGTTATATTAGGGTCTATACGACGGCGTGGACCTGCATAGGCAACATTTGCCATAAGTCATTACAATATTCAAATACGAAACTTGAAAAAAGTTCGGTGAATAATGTCGCTAAAATCATCAAAATACCGAATATCGTGAGCAACCGTTATATGGAGGCTATACGAAGACGTGGACCTGTATGGACAATTTTCTGTCATAGGCTGTAGTATCTATTACGAACTTCAAATACGAAATTTGAAACAATTCCGATGAATAATGTCGCTAAAATCATCAAAAAACCGAATATCGGGAGTTACCGTTATATGGGGGCTATACGAAGACCTGGACCTGCACAGACAATTTTCTGTCATAGGCTGTAGTATCTATTACGAACTTCAATTACTAAATTTCAAACAATTCCTGTGAATAATGCCGCTAAAATCATCAAAATACCGAATATCGGGAGGTACCGTTATATGGAGGCTATACGAAGACGTGGACCTGTATGGACAATTTTCTGTCATAGGCTGTAGTATCTATTACGAACTTCAAATACGAAATTTGAAACAATTCCGATGAATAATGTCGCTAAAATCATCAAAAAACCGAATATCGGGAGTTACCGTTATATGGAGGCTATACGAAGACGTGGACCTGTATGGACAATTTTCTGTCATAGGCTGTAGTATCTATTACGAACTTCAAATACGAAATTTGAAACAATTCCGATGAATAATGTCGCTAAAATCATCAAAAAACCGAATATCGGGAGTTACCGTTATATGGGGGCTATACGAAGACGTGGACCTGCAGAGAAAAGTTTCTGTCGCAGGCTGTAGTATCCATAACGAACTTTCAAACAATTCCGGCGATTAATGTCCCTAAAATCATTAAAATACCGAAAATCGGGAGGTACCTATATATGGCCAAGGTACCATACGAGGCCAATTTTCTGCCACAGTCTGTAGAACCCGATATGAATTGCAAAAACCAAATATAAAACAATTCCGCTATATAATGTCTCTAAAATCATCAAAATACCGAATATGGGGAGGTACAATAATATAGGGGCTATACCTAAACGCGGACCTATATAGCCCATTTTCAATACCAAAAGTCCTGCAGACAAAACTCACATTTGAGTAAAATTTTATCAATCTACTTCAGTTCGTTCCGAAGCTAGAGTGATTTCCACAGACGGACGGTCATGGTTAAATCGGTGTAGAATTTTATGCTGATCTTGGTGGGGTCTAAAATGTATATTTCGAGGTGTTACAAATGGAATGACAAACTTAATATACCGTCCATACTATGGTGGAGGGTATGAAAAAAAAACAAACAACTTTGTTATGCAAAAATCGATTTTTTGCCTGATTTGCAGAAAAAGACGCAAATTTCACGGTATCGTTTCGCCTCATCAATGCTGATGCGTTGTTGTTGTTGCTGCTGCTGTTGTTATTTTTCAACCAAATTACCATAATTAAATAATAAATGATTTTAATGAATAACTTTTTTTGTGCTTTCCAACAGCTTTGCTGTATGTGTTTGTGTGCAGGCAGTATGGACACAACCCAAGCCGTTGCGTCGAACCATTTGTCCAGTTGTTTGGTCAAACAAAAAATACAAAAACTGCAAGAAACAGAAAAAAAATATTAACCATAGACGACAGACTGCCAGTCATAATTTACAGCCTCATAAAGATATACACAATATCTGTGTGTCGTTTCCCTCTTCCTCTTTGGCGCCCAAACAAATTCCCCCAAAAAAATCAACTTTGAACCGTTTGTTGCCACAACGACCATGTGCAAAATTGCGACTGGTTTGCATTGTGGGCAATTTAAGAGATTTTCGAACAAAGTGCCTTTTGTTGGCGGTGGTGTTAACTGACTGACAGTCAGGCAAAATCTTGGTCAAATTACAGCTCAACTTCTGCCAGCCAGCAGCCCAGCAAGCCAACCACACAACCAAATGGCCAACAAAACTTTTTCGACAATAAAATGTGACAAGAAAATTGTCTTTCATAAATTTTTCAAGCAATGCAAAAATTACAACAAATAACGCAAACAACAAAAATCCATAGAAATAAAAATCGATACAACAGCAATAGCAACAACAAACAACCGAAACTTATTCAAGTTACAACCAAAGCAACACACAAAGAACTGTGGTTACATTTTCCAATCTTGAGTCGAGGAAACGACACAGAAAGGCGGGGGAGTTGGTCGGTTGGTCGTTTGGGTTATGGTCTAAAGGGTTTTTCTGTTTTGCTATGCGACAGCTTATGGCTTGTAAAGTATTTGCCATCTTGGTGGCATCTTGGTCTATGGCTTATGTGAAGAGCATGCTTCAAATTGCCTTTGGCTAAGAAACTTTAGATGACAAGTATTGTAGAGCCGTTGAACACTCCTAAGGAAGTAAAGAAGAGGCAAAAAAAATTAGAAAATTGATGTTGGTTTAATAAAGGAAAAAAAACAGCCAATATTCTAGCTTTGAGTCAAAAATATATAAACATGGGAGGGAGAGTTGCCATTTGATAAAAAAAAACACACACACAAACAAGGACGTTAGTGCAGTGCAATATTTCGAATGGTAGTTTTTTCTTCAAATAGTGACCGCCTTACAACCATGAAGGTAAACTACTACAAGCGTGCAGTTTAATAGCTTGCATTCGGATTTAAGGTAATGTTCAAAAATTATTTTTTTGGGCTATCGAATTTTAAGTTTAGGTTTATGACCTATAGTAGGTCCAGACGGCCTTCCGACTTCTTATAAAATCTAAAGGACTCCTTCTAAGGGATATTGTGAACTATACAATTACAGCAAACTCTTTGGAAATTGCGACATTGTATAAGGTAGGCGATAGCAAAACGTAGACTGGTATCGAACAAAATTTGGACAAACTGGAAATAATTGTATTTCTTAACCCTTCTCACCAGGGCTGTAGAGTCGAGCCATTTTTGGTAGGACGCCACTACGGAAACAAAAAGTGATGTTTAAAAACTGTTTTTAATAAAATATTTGTACTCGGGTGAGAAGAAAAAACTGCAACAAAGTCAAATGCCATAATTTTTACATTTTTTTTTAATTTTATTGAATAAAAGAAAAAAATGTCGGAAATAGCATCAAATTTTAGATAAATTTAGATTTGCTCGAACTGGTCACCTTTGGCACGAATTATGGCCTTCAAACGGCCAATGAAAATGTCACACGCTGCCCGAATGTTGCTCTGCGGATTTTTGGCCCATTCCCGGCGAAGCGCTTGCTTGAGGTGATCGAAACTTTGGTATTTGTTAGTGCCAACCTTGCTTTCCAAAATACTCCAGACACAAAATTCCAACCTATTGGTATCCGGAGATTTTGGTGGCCATTGTGTGCTGGAAAAGAAGCGAGGAACCTCATTTTTAACCATTCTTGGGTGGCGCGTGCTGAGTCCTGTTGGAATGTCCAAAGTCTCTGGCCAAAATGTTTGCGTACCCAAGGCTTTGATACACCCTCCAGAATATTTTCGCGATAATATTCGGCATTTATTCTGATGTCAAGGTCGATTAATACGAGCGGAGAGCGAGCATCGGCTGTTATTGCGGCCTACATCATCACCATGACCGGCACTTGAGTTCTGGTGGCCAACCGAAAGTGCACATTTTTAGCTGACCTCTTTGGCAAGTAAGCACGATAGTTTTGTTTCTCATCGGAGAAAATCAAATTCGACAGTTCACCACTTTCGGCCAAGCGAAGCAACTCTTTAGCTCTTTTGAGTCTATTTTCTTTCTGTTGCGGTGTAAGTTCTTGCACTTTTTGGAATTTCAATGGCTTTACTCCGAGCTCATTTTTCAATATTTTTCGGCCACTGCGACGCGGGTTTCGATTAAGTCGCTTCTTTACTTTTCGAAACCATTTCTGCTGATGTTGCTGTTTTCTTC